TTTTTTTTGTCAGGAGACATGCCTCCCATGCCTCGGAGGCGAAGAAGGCTACCTACCACTGGGATGGTTTTTTTTTTTTTTTTTGCAGGAGACATGCCTCCCATGCCTCGGAGGCAAAGAAGGCTACCACTAGGATGATGTTGACATCACCACCTTCCTAAAATTAGGGTTTTGTTTATCGCGCGTGACGTCCTACCTGCCGTTGAGAGTTGATGTGATCGAGGGTCTCGCCGCACATCGCACACGAAACGAAAACGAAAGTAGTGCACCTGGCCACCAAAGGTGGCAAAATACACTCGTTACTATTTATACCAGACCGACGAACCTGGCCATTTTCTGGGGGAAGTTACATTCGTTTCGTTTTTCGTTTCGTGTGCCATGCGGCAACGCCCTCAGTCAGAGGTCAATATGTTTGAGGTGATACTGATGTCAGGAGAGAGGGTAGATGCAATGAACCCAAATTCAGAAGTTTGAAATCAGACCCCGCTTGGATACACACTTTTTTTTTTTTTTTTTTTTTTTTTTTATAGTGCCGTGTCGGCCTCGATCCCGGAACCTGCTGGGTGAAAGTTTGAGGCAGTACTTACTGGGCTTTTCTCAATTCCATGATAAGAAGCAAATTTGGCGACAAGAAAGAGGAGACTATGGGCCTCCTCCCTCCACTACTCACCACATGCACAAAAGACAAAAAACAAATGGTGGTGTATCTTCCCATGTTCCAGCAGAAGATTCATTCTCGTTTTGCACATTTGCTGAGTAGTGGAGCGAGGCCCTATGTGAAAATCAGAAGAAGAAGAAGAAGATCAACGCATGGTGGGGTTGCGTGCCCCCCCCCCACCCCACACACAAACCCCATGGTGGGGTTCCAAAAAAAATAAAAAATAAATAAAAAATAAAAAAATGGTGGGGTTTACAACCAGATTTCACTTGAGATAGCGATTTCATCAAAATGGACATTTTTTAATGAATTCGCCGTACTTGCGGTGCAGCACGTGACACGCGAGTTGCGCACGTGCGCTGCATACCACGCGCACGGATGCGGCGCACCCCATTCAATAGGGGCTATTGAAAAATTCGGAAAGGGCAGGCTGTGGTAGGGTAGCCATACGTGCCCCTCCCCCCCTTCTGAAAATTCGAAGTGCACAGGAAAAAAAAAAAAAAAAAAAAGGGGACCACACCATACTCCTCTTTGGACCCAGTCTCTTTTCCGAAGGGCAGCCAGCAGAAAATCAGCAGTCCCCGATTTCTTAAAATACCGGTGGAAGTTTTTATTTTAGCTCGTGAGGATCGGGCATTCTTAAAATGCTGGACCCCCTGGATGTATCTGGACTTAGCTGGAGTCCATGGGGTCTGGTGTTTTCGGAACGCCCGATGTATCTGGACTTCGCTGGAGTCCAGGGGGTACGACGTTTTAAGAACCCCGGACCCTCAGGAGCAAAACATTTGGACCTAAAATGGGCCAGTTTTTTCGATTTCACTCAAAAAGAATTTTAAAATGTCCATTTTGACGAAATCGCTGTTTTGAATACACACCGCTCGTTTCCATCATAAGAAGCAAATTGAGACGGTTAGCAGCGATCAAAAGAAAAAACGAAAAAAACACCCCTAGCATCCACTCGGGTTGTTTTTGTGAAAGAAAAAAGAAAAAAAAAAAAAAAAAAAAAAAA